GCCCAAGCGCGCCCGGGCTGTCCCGCTGCGGGTGTGCTCCAAGTTTCAGCAGCGGCTGACGCCAGTTCCGACTTACATACAGATTCAACTTAAGAACAAACCTACAGTCCCTATCTTGTACGTAACCCGGGGACTGCCTGTACTTGTATGAGATGAACTGAAAAATACTTTATCACACTGAGCACGCCCGCAGGGGGACAGCCCAAGCGCGCCCGGGCTGTCCCGCTGCGGGTGTGCTCCAAGTTTCAGCAGCGGCTGACGCCAGTTCCGACTTACATACAGATTCAACTTAAGAACAAACCTACAGTCCCTATCTTGTACGTAACCCGGGGACTGCCTGTACTTGTATGAGATGAACTGAAAAATACTTTATCATTTTACAGTGCAAATACTGGAAATAAAAATAATAATATAGAGGGAGCATAGTGCACTTTGCATTCTGTGTTGTAAATTAAGTCAGTATATTTGAACATTCAGAAAAACATTAAAGATATTTATCATAAATTTTAATTTGTATTCTATTATTTTTAACAGTACAATTTAAACTGCAATTCATTGTGACTAATTTTTTTAAATCTTGTGATTATTTTTGATTTTTTAATCATTTGACAGCCCTAATTAAGAGGTAAAACAGTCAAAACCAAATGACAATAAAAATTAGTCATGTGACAGAGATCCCCCTCTAAAATTTTATATCAAAGGTTGTTTTCTTGACTCCGCTAAACTATTTTTAATTCCTGCTTCATCTTTTCCTGGTCAGATTTGGTTTTGCTTTCTTTGGGAGGATGTTTTTATTATGCATCACCTCCAGCCAGTGCTCAGAGATTTGTTCGCTACTGACAGAACAAATCAATAATAAAAGAGGGGTTTTTTTAAGATTCAAAGCATGATTTATAGGATTTAATTTCTACGGTGTGTAAACATTTTGTTACAAAATATTGCCTGGAGGTAATAGTAATAGAGCTGGGCACCGCACTGGAAACTTTTAGCCAAAAACACCCAGGCTGTGTCTACATTGGCAAGATTTTGCACAAAAGCGGACACTTTTGTGCAAAATCTTGCCGCCTGTCTACACTGGCCATGAGTATTTGAGCAAGAACACTGACTTTGTAATGTACAAAATCAATGGTTCTTGTGCAAATACTCTGACGCTCCCGCTCAGGGATAAGCCCTCTTGCGCAAGTATCCCTCTTACAGCAACGTTAATTACTTGCACAAGAAAGCCCGATGGCTAAAATTGCTATCGGAGCTTTCTTGCGCAAGAGAGCATCTACACTGGCACGGATGCTTTTGCGCAAAAGCACATGCCACTGTAGACGCTCTCTTGCGCAAATACTTTTAATGGAAAAACTTTTCCGTTAAAAGTATTTGCGCAAAATCATGGCAGTGTAGACGCAGCCCCAATGTTTATTTACTTGCAAAACTGTATTCCTTGGTTTTTGAAACCATTCATGGATTTGCTAACATATAAGACCTTATCTTTCTCCTCTTTGAAGTTCTCTCTGGTTGCCTATGACTGTTTATCTCTATTCTTTACCTCTACACATTTGTATATTGTTAGGTTACTAAAGAAGCCAAATACTGCGTACAAAACAACATGGGCCTATATGGCCTAACAATATATGAATTAGTTTATCAGAAAATCACAACAATGGTAGCATAATAAAAAGATGGGACTTTATTTATCTCATAATAAAGAAATGGGACTCTCCAGGCCAAAAAAAAAAATCTTTCTGTCTTCGGGTCTCATGAAAATAATGTCCTCCACTACTCTCAGAGTATAAAAACCTACAAAATATGTGAACACATTAGGTCACAGGAGGAAACCGGCAAACAACGAATTATAAATGCATTATACATACTGTAAGAGTATGTCTACCCTTGCTGTGCCAGAGATCAATGTTCTGGCATTTGATTTAGCAGGTTCCATTTACACACGTAAATTGAACGCTGAGGGCAGCTGCACCCAGTTCCCATCAGCCTCCTGCTATGTGGATGTCATCAAGCTCGGCTTAAGGTGAGCCAATTCCAGCTACATATTCTACATATCTGGAGTTGCGTACCTTAAGCCAACTTTCCAGTCTAATACAGACATGGCCTAAGCGTCTTGAAACAGATTAATTCTGCTAAGGATGAACTTTACTATAAAGGATAGTCATAGTTAAACAAGTGTTCTTGAATACCCTGAACATAATGTTTGACTCTGGCTTTTGCCAAATTATTGATAAAGTACAGCAAGGCTACATGACATCCCAAGGAAGATTAAAGAAAGATTTCATAACATCCCACAGTTTTTTCTCCTCAAGGGACATATTCAACAGATTTTATATAAGGTTTGCAGAAGTGCTAATGCAGGAACTTAGCAATGAGTGCAAAATACTTGGTTTGGATGGCCTTTTGCACTTCTTGCTGGAATTTATACAATAGTGTAGAATGCTTTTCTCAAGCTAGAAAGGATATGGGGAAAATGGTAGAGTTTAGATTTCTTTTTACATTAGTTACTCTCTGAAAAGTTTCTATGCAATGCTCATCCAGCACCGAGAAGGAAAGTAAGGCAATAATGAGACTTTGCGTGTTGTCTTATTTTCATCTAATTAAGAAGTAACTTTCAAAAAGGAAAGATGGTTTTGTGATTAAGGTATTGGCATAAATCCTAGAAGATTAGGTTCAGTTGTCTGTACACCAACAGATTTCTTGTGTGACCTTGGCTAAAACTGTTTAATATCTCTTTTCTGTAAAATGGAGATGACACATCCTTTGCCTATCTTGTCTCAGAGTGTAAGCTGTTTGAGGCAGGGACTGGATCTTCTTATACGTTTGTACAGCATGAAGTACAGTAGACTTCCGATAATCCGGCACCTTTTGGACCTAGGTGGTGCCGGATTATCAGATTTGCCAGAGAATCAGGAGGTCCGGTATAGCTGCACAGTTTAACAGCTGGCCAGGACACAATCTCCCTCCCTCTCCCCTCCCCTTTCCTCTTCACTGCCGCTCCGTGCTGTAACCTGATCCTCCTCCCCCCCCCTCCCCTTTCCCCTTCAGCTGAAGCAAAACGCTCTTCTCCATACTGTAACAAGATCCTACTCCCTCCCCCTCTCTCCCAACCTTATGCTCCCTCTGGTTATAGCCAGAACGTGTGCTGAGCGGCAGGCTTTTTAATCAGCTGGTCAGGAGCGCTTGGCATTTTGATGCTGGAGTATCGGGAGTGCCGAACAGTTGGATGCCGGACTATCGGAGTTTTACTGTGCTATGGGGCCCTATCTTTAATTGGCTTGTATTGCAATACAAATAGTAAAATTTCAACCAGGAGGGACATTGTCTCAACGACTTGATTACCTGCATCCTGCTTCAAAGACCTTTTAAGCCTTCACTTCAAAGAGAATCCTTTGAACTGTCATTCATGCTTAAATTCGACACTTTACACTCAAATTTGAATAAAGATGCTAATTATCTTACCCATTACAAAGATAGCTTCCCCAGTTATCACCTCTAATATCATTAGCTCACAGACATTTACCTCTCCCCCTCAATCTCCCTTCTGTTCTGAAATTTGATTTGTCCTTTTCATATGTGTTTATTTTTTTATTTGTATCCTTTGGTATATATGGTTGTGACAATTTTCTTCCACTATTTGATCTGAGGAAGTGGGTCTGGCCCACGAAAGCTCATCACCTAGTAAACCATCTTGTTAGTCTTTAAAGTGCTACACAGTCCTGTTTTTTGTTTCAGTAAAATAAGGAGTGTCAGAATCAGTGAGAACTTGTCTTATGCTTTCCAACAAGATCCCAAAACCTTATTAAGAAATTTTTAAAGAAAGAACAAAAGAGTTGAAGAGAGAAGGTTAAAAAATAGATGCTAAAGGAGATAATGGGCACAGATCAAAATTTTCCATTCTAATCTCTGGTCAAGAACCAGTTCTAAGAGAAGTTCATTATTGACTAAAATATTTCTAGATCGTCTTTACTGCAAGATTTCCAACTAACATTCATGTCATTCAGCTTACTATCTTTTTTTCTCTTTAATGCAGAGTGCTACCAACAAGTGGGCAGCAGCAAAATGAGGGGCTATTTCTGGTTCAAGACATCTAAAAAATAGAGAGGTGAAGCAGGAAGATACAGAAAGAAAGCATGGGACACATATTGGTGTAGGGTATGAAGACTCCACATTGTGCACTGGGCGCAGAAGTTCTTTTAATAGAACTGCCAGTCTCCCTCACTGCTAGTAAGCCCTCTAAAATAGGTACAGGTTTTGCCTTCACTTCTGCACTGCTCCTACTGTCCACCAGCCTGGAGAGTGTAACAAATTCTGCCTTTGCACCCAAATTGGAGTCTGCTGCATCGTGCATGGTATCAGTTGACAGGTAAGAAACTGACTAGCTGCACATGAGGCTCAAAATATACTTTTACTTGGTGTCTTAATGGATGGTGTGTGTTCTGTTGCCCTAGGAGAATACTAATTACCCAATATGGGCAAGTATCTTTAAGCTCAGGAAGGGTACGTCTACACAGCAGTGTTGTTTCAGAATAACATAGTCCGCGTGTACACTACAAGCAGTTATTTCAACATAATGTCAAAATAATGTCGATCTGGAGGACTTCTTACTCTGTCCACTGTAAGCCTCGTTTTACAAGGAGTAAGGGAAGTTGGAATAAGAGTGCTCTTTCTCGGACTTCCTGCTGTATAGACAGTGTCAAAAGCTGAAATAAGCACTTTTATGTCTACACTGGAGCTTTTGCTGTAATAGAAGTGTCACCAAAAATCACAACTTTAACCAGTAGTGCTGCACAGGCAAAACTCTAGCATGGATCTGCCTTTAAGAGAGTTGGAAGCCAAATAGGGTTTCCTTTACAAGATGAGTGGAACAGATGGAAGTAAAAAAGAACATTGTTACTCATGTTGTTAATTTAGCAATCTATAAATACAGCATTAACCATTTAGATCTACAATTGTTTATGTTTAAAACACTTAAAATTAGATTTGTGATTAAAATTAGACCCTACCTGAAAATTTGCAACAATGCCCATTCCAAAACAGCCCAGCAATCCAATACATAATGTAATTAAGTTACATAAAGAACTCATAAAATTTGATGATTCGTTTTGCTTCTCTAATATCAAATATCTGATGTACATTGTAGTTGCACCTAAAAGGAGAGAAGAAACCCAAAACATTTTCATTTACAATGCGGTTATATTATGGTTTTTTCATTTTGGGGGGTGAAATATCATATACATTTACAAAACTAACTTAAAATCACTGTCCACTGAATTATATTTTCTCTAATTCTATTGTGATGGGAGTGGGAAGGGAGACTAAAAAGTAGTAAATTCTACATGTATTATGTTCAGATGCCATTCTGAAAGGGCCTCCTCAATGCTAGCTTCCCCAATTGCAACTTAGGACACGAGGTCATTTCAGTCCTGCTTACAATTTTGATTTTAAAGAGCAGAGAATGTTGACAACCATACAATCCACATCAGGAAAGGGAGATGAGCGCTAAGTTGGAAGATGGACAGTTCATGAGACTTTAGTCTGCCCTAATAGATATCTGTATTCTAGGGTTACCATATTTGAACTTTCAAAAAAGAGGACACTCCTGAGAGGCAGTGTATCTGTAACCGTATCTACCAACTCACGTTATATTAATAACACATTAATACAACATGAATGGGTAGATACTGATACAGATACACTCCCTCTCAGGAGTGTCCTCTTTTTTGAAAGTTCAAATATGGTAACTCTATGTATTCTGGAACTACATAGGTTAATGACCTGGTACAGTTTATTTTTTGTTCTATTATTTATATCCAACAAAGTGCAACCAGTGCCATCAGAAATTGTTCTCAATTCTTGGGATCCTATTTTGACTAGCCTTTGCCATAAGAGCCTTCCAAACCAACATATACCAATATGTTTTGCCAAAACCAGCTATAGGCCCTGATACTCAATTCCTCTCAAAGACTTATTTAGGTATGAAAATTGACTGCATCAGAGAATTGCATTCTAACAGGATGGTGTCACAATATGTTGTTAATCAGGCCTTGTAAAGAACAGTTTTATAACACAGTTCGTAACTCTGGTCCTGTGTACATAGGGAAGATCAAATCACATAGTATTCTATATAATTCCCGCAATATAGTAAACTTGCCTGTGAAGCCAGGCCCTTAGAGGAGATATAATTGGAGAGGGCGGTTGTGTATAGAGATCACTTTTGAGGTTTGGAAGCATATATGCATTTATACAAGCCTAGATTCTCCCCCTCCATCAGATTGAAAGGGGTTGTGCAATCAACTGCAATTCCTTGACTCAGGACTGCTTGGCTTTGCTGCAAGATTCTTGATGGGCAGGGCACATTGATTTAAATCAGAGTAATTTAAATTACTGACTTTGATCAAGATATAAATAATCAAACAGGAAACATAAGCTCAAATAATCAATTTTAATTGTGCTTTGCATTTGCACTTTTTAGTTATTTTCCTAAGACTGATTCAAATTGGTGATAACCAATGAAATGTTGATTTACTACTTAATATCGCCTTTATCCTAAATTGGTTCTTCTTTTTGCTGATCAGGAGGATACATTATATCTATGCACATTTATTTAAGTAATTACATAGCTTAACGTACATGTATAGAGATTCTTATTTTTGGCATTTTTATTATGTTAGAAACTAGGGAATAATGCACTTCTTATCCACTAGATAATTAATTTTGACTTGTGATTTGTGTCAATCTATTTGAATGGATATTCAAATTCAATTCAAAGTGCACAAAACCAGCATTTTTAAAGGAGTTAGATACATTAAAAGTTTATTCAAATATATTTTACATTTAAAATTAATAACCTATTTATTAAAGGAAGTGTTACCGAGAGTTAGTGAATATGTTTCTGTTTACCATGTCCTTCAAGATTACAGAACCAGGAGATCTCATTCTCTTACACTTGTTTTTATTCATAAATTGTAAGAGGATAAATAACTTTCCTGCTTTTTCAACTCTTGAATAAACTAATAATTTAACTGAATCAACTGAAGTTATGAAAATATTTTCTCTGCACCCGCAGAAGGACCTACTGCTATCAATAGCTGGAATAGCATGTCAACAAATTCTGGTTCCATGTGCCTGACTAGTGACTTCAACCATTTCAGTATTTCACTCTCTTTAAAACAGCAAATATGTACAGCTTAATGTTATTTAATTTAAATTATTTTAATAGATTATAGTAAGTTTAGGCCTCAAATAGGTTGTCAATTTTAAATTTTATTTTGGATAAGTTTATCTTTTAAAAATAAAACAGTATTGAATTTTTTTTAAATCAAGTATTTTAAAAAATCAAAACCATTGATTTTTATCCACACTAAGGAACCTTATGCAAGTGGGGGACCAGGTATAACTGAGCCCATACCACTGTTCTACTACCCCCTTCCCTTCCTTCCCTTCCCTTCCCTTCTACTATGGGTTGATGTGAGGAGCAGCTGGCGCAGCCAGATTTACACCAGCTGACAATTTTCTTCCACTGGTTATTGCTAACTACTTTAAGGCCACTCTGCACTGATTAAGTGATATTAGTGAACAACAAAATCAACTCCATAATCTACAGTCACTTACCCCTAAACCGCACTCTGCAGTACCCTCAATGGCACTGTGGAGTGGGCTCTCTGTAGTATTTTGTGGGGACTAAAATAGGGGCAACCAACTTGTTACTCATCCTGTTTCTAGTTCCAGATTCTCTGTTGTTCAGATAGAATCTGGCCCTTGATTGGCTCAGAACAAATACCCCATACATACCTAAAAATGCTGAAATATTAATCATAAACCCAAAGACGCCACTTTCTGGAGGTTTTGTTCCTGTGTCACTGAAACAAGAAGAACAAAAAAGTTAGTTCATGAAGCTTGTAAGAGTGAAGTCCTAAATTATACTACAATTTCCTAAAAAAGAAATGTCATTTGTATGAGGTTTTATTTAAGAAGACAGACATTTCCACAAGGAAATATAATGTCCCCTGTTGTATGTCTAAGGCTTTACTGGTCAAACTGAATGTTTGTTTTTGGGTGAAAAAAAATGTTATCTTGCCATAGAACACAATCTCTGAACTATAAATCTCTCCCAGTCCCTCATTCATGCAGAGCTATGAAGACCTGGATTTACACATCAGGTAGTTGTGAACAGCAGCTAGTAGAAGGACATTAATGAACTTTATTAAGGATAGTAATAGAGATGTAGCCGTGTTAGTCTGGTCTTGCTGAAACAAAAGACAGGACTATGCAGCACTTTAAAGACTAACAAGGTGTTTAGTAAAACGATTTTATTACAGGCACTTGAGGGAGGTCATATCTGCTATAGTCACACACATCTTCTCTCCAGGAGTACGTGGGTGCTAGAATTAGTTGTTCTGGGAGTTCTGCTGGACCCCAGGGTTTGAAGTCAGAGATGAAAGTGAGCCAGTATAGACCAGTATGGCATACCAGTGAGAAAATGGCTGCCAGTACAGTCCGGTACAAAGTCCATGTTTAAGGACAATACCAGCAGGGTCAGTGATGGGGGGAGGGGCAGTTGCCCCCAGGGCCCACTAATTTAAAAGGCCCGGGGCTCCCAGCTGCCACCACTATGGCAGCAAGTGGAGCCCAGGGCAACATGGGCCTGACAGCACTAAAAAGCTGGCTGGGGAGAGGCTGCCAGAGCCTTGACCCTTCCACCTGAGGTCTTGCTCCTTCTAGGTGTCCAGAGCCACCCTCCCTCCCACCTTGCCCAGGAACCTGGCAGTTCTGTGTACCAGTAAGACCTTTAAGTTACTTTCACCCCTGTCTTGAAGTGGTTTCCATTATATACAGGGTTTACAGTCTGATTCAATGGCTCTCAACGCTCCCAATATAAAAATTGTTCTGGTGTCCCTGCAGGAATATGGTGGTCATTTAATGGCCAGAATGTGAAGCTTATTGCTATGATTCCAGGCATAAACAAAAGTAAATCATACTATATATATAATAATTATAGTAGATTGAATAGTGTGTTGTATGTCTGAGAGAGTTTGTGAGCAAGTGAGTCTCTCCATCTGTCCATACAAAAACTCCTAAACCAGTGGTCCCCAACCTTTTGAGGTTGTCGGGCGCCAGGGGGCGTGGCCGTTCGCCCGCCGGGCGCCAGTG